TGGGTGGTGGATATCTTGGATCCATATAAGATGGTGGGAAATGTAATGCAAAAAGGTTACGGGTACTACACTGTAAGTTACTTTGGTAAAAAATAAATAGGCCTACACAGTGGCAAAAACAATGGTACAAAAATTGACCTTTTCTAATTTTTCAGGTGGTTGAGTATAATGTATGGTACATGCACTTGGTGCAACCCCCCCCCCCCCCCCCTTTACAGGCCTGCATGTGTTAGAAACTGCTACCGTAATTAATAAGTAATAGGAGTGGACCTGAGCCTGGCAAAGCCATTGCCAGGACTTGATAATGAGACTTTCTAAAAAAAAAAAAATTACTGAAACTAGCCAAGCAAGCACAACTGCTGAGTACCAGGGCCACAAATAAAAACGGTGCAGGAGGCCACGGGGGAGTGCCGAAGCGGCTGGAGACCTTGCTTGGGTCTGCCTTCTGTGAAACTCATTTTCCAGGGGGTAATCAAGTGTACAGTGTCTTCTCCTTGAAGTGCAGGGGGCGGTGGAGTGGAGGACTGCGTGACTCACGACTTACGATCCCATCTGCCAGCCGGCTAGTATTTAACAAACCACCGTCCCGTCGTTGCACGGTAGCCGCGGGATCGCAATTCATCATCGTCAGTCAGGCCGTAACGAAGAAGCACTCTGTGGCTTTTTTTTTTTGTGTGTGTGTTTACACCGTGTGAGAAAACTAAATTATTAAATGGGGCCCGTCGCTCGGCAAATGTCAAAAAGTGGCAGAGTGATACAGCACTGAAATATTGATGTTGGCACATTCAGTAAGCACATGTTTTGGAGGTTGATCATTTGCAATGTGTTCTCTCATTACATGTACCTGTTATCACAGCTAATATGCATACATATCGTCGCGTCAAATGCAACAAGGTCGGTATCTCCTAGAATGGCATGAAAGCAAAACGCGAGTTTTAGAGTGTCAAAAGGCTGTATCTCGCTGAAAATAACCCGGACGTACACGCAAAGTCATTGGACGTCGAGATATGACTTTGTTGCACGAAGCGTATTCGCGCAAGAAATGACTTTGTTGCAGAATCGCGTTACAACCTTGTTGCACTGACCCGATGAGGTACACATACATGTACATTGTATGTAAATTATACAAAACCGGGCATGTTTCCAAATAAAATACTTGAGGTTAAGTATGGCAACAGTGTGATACAGGTACCGGTACATGTACATCGAAACATTTATCAGCTGTTGTTCGCAAATTTTAGAAAAAAAATTTAAATCAATAACAGCTGTTATTATTTTTAGAATTTACTAACTACCCCCGGTACTGCACAGGTTCCAGTATAGACGCGGACAGATATGGAGGGTAAAATTATAGAGTGAAATTGGACAGACAGTTTCTCACCATTTACCATGTTTGTTTTAAATAAATAAAAATCCCCAACAAAAACAAATGAATGAAACAATAATTACCGGTACATGTTGATTACAATAAGGCAGCAAAAAGAATTGTCATTTTGCATGCGACAGCAAAGAATTTGCCATTTGATGTTGAAGAGCAAGTTGAAGTCTACCAGTACTTTGGTCCGTTGTGCAAGTGTACCGTAAAACTGTACGCATGTAATGTTGTCCAGTGTACCGTAATTTTCGGAATATAAGCCGCGCGGCGTATAAGCCGCAGCACGCAAAAATCTGCAAATTAAGATTTGAAGTCGGCGTATAAGCCGCACCGACCGCTGCGGGTTTCAATTTTGTAAGGCCTCCAAATTCTAGTCAAAATGATCTGAACCAGTTCCATTCCCACTACAGAAGCTATTAAAAGGACCACAAAAGTTATATCAAATCATTTACAATTGATACTTTTACAAACAAATATGGGAATTGATGAGACATAAACACCGGGAACTGCTGCCGGCTGCCCCGTCATAGCCCGGCAGCCTGTGCCACGCACGCCGGTGAATGACAACATTTTCCCACAGCACGTGAGAGAGTATGAAACCCACCGTGTGTTGTCTAACTGGAGCGCTACAAATCTTGCTTTGTGGCAACAGATGCTGATTTGTTTTGTCCTAAGAATAAACAGGTCCGTTTTTACCTCAAAACTTATCAAATTGTTGCGACTAGTTGCGAGAAAAATTCAAGTTTCGATCGAAACTTTCTTTGGAAATAGTCAAAACGAAGCGGACATTTAAATAGACTATTCCATTAATTTTGTAAGGGGTGATTTAGTCCCTCTTTTGAGTTTTACATCGTTTCTTGAATACATTTCAAGAAAACAAAATATATTGTGACGTTGAACAACTGATTATGTAATAAAAAAATGTTTCGAACGCCATAAAAATTGTAGTGGTCTTTTTTCTTTTTTTTTAAACAGCGAAAATATTGGTAATTATTGTTCCCAAGAAAGAACACCCCTTTGTTACCGCAAATGGTGTGGTCCGCTGTTGGGAAAGCATGCCTGCATATCGCTGCTGCACTGTACCAGTATCACGTACGGCTGGTGGCAAGTGTCGAAGACAGCTTCCATCACCGTACTTTTTTACCGCTCGGTACCTTTACGTGAGACGTGGTTTCGGTTTGTTAATGACTTTCCTAATTTATAATTCATTTCAGCAACATATCTCTTCTTATACCAGTACATTAAATACACACGTGAATTTCATTTTTATTCTTCAAGGCTCGGCGTATAAGCCGCCCTGTGTATAAGCCGCAGTAAACATTTTCATGGGCAAAATCAACGTATAAGCCGCGGCTTATATTCCGAAAATTACGGTACATACATGTACATGTATTTCATTCGCACGCTTGTGCACAGATGCAGCATATTTACAAGCAAATGCAATAGAACACTGATGGTTAGTCACAGGGCAATGCTGGGGTATAGTAATGTAATTAAGGTTCACATCTGATGTAGACAAGTCTGTCACTGTTCTCATTCTGTATGTAGATTGGCAATCCAGTCTGTGTGATTCAACAACCTGATCTAATGCTGTATCACCCAATGAACACGTGTAAGAACTTCCACAAGGCCAGAAAAAAAATCAGTTGGAGAAGAACACGCACTTCTGCGAAATGAAATTTCGTTTCAAAGAGATCTCCTTTTGTCTCAGGTTGGCCTGCGGCAGATGTCTTCAACACAATGGTTTTTAATTTCCGGGGACTGGTCTTCCCCCGAGCAAACTTTCAAAAGCATTTCAGAGTTGGCAATGGATCCACTTGGTTTGGACTGAACAAGTCAAAAACACTTGAAATTGGTGGGAATTAAGCAAAAGAATTCCCTGAGTCACTGTTCACCATGTTCACTGATACGTACCGGTACATGTATGTAAGTGTACAAACATGGTTTGTGCCGAAAAAAAAATGAAGTAAAAGATTTTGAGGTACGGTATCTTTAGATTAAAAATTCCTGAGTTTTCATGCGTACATAGTATATTTTTAGAGTAACTAGTATGTGTTTTACAAATTAAAAGAGTGCATGTAAATAGTAGGCCTGCATGCCGTTTCCATCATTTTAACCGGGTGACCAAATTTAAATTAGGATAAGAACAAAATGGTTTGATAGAGAAATACCTTCTGTGTCAATGTTTTAAAACATTTTTGTGTGGTAAAAGCAAATTTTGACGAACTAGGGTAATTTTGTAGTGTGCCTGAACGGTCAACGGTACGCTGTGGATTTCAGAGAGCAATTAATTTCCTAAATTATGCAGAATTAAAACATTGCATTATGGCCCTGAAGACGATCCATGTTAATGTATTGGGTTCCTGTTTCTGATGGGTACTGTTTCGAGCAGCTCCATGTTACATTTTCAAAGAGTTCATGGCTCAACTCTCATCCAAAAAAACATCACTATTTGTAATAACTTGGTTTGAGTCTTGAGTTTGAAACAAAATGACTTATTCATGAGTCCTTCCTCTGAGAGAAGTCAGACATTAACCCTAACCTTCCTCAATCCTCCAAAATCCTCCAAGACGGTTTTGGAGGATTTGGGAGGATTGAGGCTGAATGGCAAAAAAAAGTGTCAGTTTATTTTGGAGGATGCATTGCGTCGAGTTCGTAGGCCGTACCCTGCATTGTTTATGTTCAGCCAAGCATAATTGAGCCCTGCATTATGCTCCACATCAACCGCACAGCTTCTGAATAACATCGGCACTGCCTCAACCCATTAACAGTGATTGAAGCAATGGTCACCCCTCCACTGAACAAATTCAACAAAACAATGGATGATTTTGGAGTACTGAGTCTGAATCTAACTTTTACATGGTGGGAATTGGAGGATTTTGCAGGATTAAAGACGAATCCTAGCCAAAAGAGGCTAGGGGGTTAGGGTTAACTCTTGAGTCAACTACTGACTCAAGTTAAAGATTGAATCAACTTGCCACTGACTCAAGTCAGTCATGACTCAAGTCAACTACTGACTCAAGTCAAAAACCGACTCAAGTCAAAAACTGACTCAAATTGCCACTGACTCAAGTCAGCCATTGATTCAAGTCAGCCATTGACTCAACTTGTCACTGACTCAAGCCAAAAAGTGACTCAACTTGCCACTGACTCAAGTCTGCCATTATCTCAAGTCAACTACCAGCTCAAGTCAAAAACTGACTCAACTTGCTACTGAATCAGGTCAGCCATTGACTCAAGTCAGCCATTGACTCTATAAAGTCATCTACTGAAGTAAGTCAACCACGGACTCATATTGCCACTGTCTCCAGTCAGACATTTACATTACACATGTACATTATACTGTACCCAAGCCAGCCTCTTACTCAAAAGTCAGCAAATTATTAAAATCGGCAAATTATTAAAGACAGAAAATGAACTACGCCTGTGACTGACCCCAGTCAGCCGTAGTCAGCCACAGAATCAACTCAGCCACTGATTCAAGTCAGCAAATGCCTCAACTCAGCCACTGACTAAAATCAGCAACTGATTGCAAGACAGCCACTGACTCTAGTCAGCCACTGACTAAAATCAGGCACTAACTGAAGTCCAATAACTTTTCAATGAGACATACATGTGTACATACCTTTGATCGCTCCCATCTATGGTAGTCAGTGTGGTTATGACAATGAGGACAATCTTCAACATAAAACGGTCTGATGCGTCCATACATGGCAGCGTCCAGGACGAGTCTTTCTTTAGTACGTGGTACCTCCTCCCCCTTCTGAATCTCAAATGCTGGGACCACGAATGCCGTCCTTTTGGAATACTCGGTCTCCTCTTGCAGGATGATGCTGCTCCGCGACAGATGCAAAAATTGAGTTCGCAAGTGAGCGCTGGGCAACATGTCAATGTCAATGACAAAGACAAAACGCGAGTCGGCCCCGCTCCTCGCCACGTTTCTCAAGACGTTATTGGGGTAGGGGACCTGCAGGGCGTAGTTTTTCGTCTGAGACGTGGCTTGAAAGGTCTGCTCTTTCAAGCTCGACAGGATCGTCTCGCAAGGCAATTTTGTAAAAGGGAGGGCCTTGGCACTGCTGCTGCTGAGTGTCTCCGTTATTTCAGTGATGGGCTGCACAAGGTGAAAGGTAACGTTCTCTTTGATGCCAGGAAAACACTCCCGCAAAGTGAACAAGATGTTATTGAAAGTACTGATGTCTGGACCTACAGAGAACACGGCCACGGACATCGGGCCCTGCCACCGTACCACTAGGTCAACAAGGTGGTACAGATTGTTCACGGAACACTGGGTGATTAGGGTCACGTCCGAAGGCAGTGCCTCGTGAGTCTTTCTACTAACAGCGGCAGTACTCTTCATGTAGGAATGGTAGATTTTGTAGGACCCCGTGGTGTCCAGTTTAGCCTCCAGATGGATTTTAGTCCGGCTCCGGAGGGAGTGGTTGTTCCGGCTGGGCAGGCTCCCCGAGCCTGCAGACCGGCGCCCATTGGTGATGGCCGTTGCTTTGTTTTCTAGCCAGGAGATCATAGACAGGTGTATCAGTTGCAGGATGATGAGCACAGACACCAGACCTCCAACCATTGCACGCACCACTGTTAGCCGCATTTTGCCAGCTGACCTGCCAACAAAAACAAAATGGGGAAGAGTTCAAATCGAGTGCGAACACTGCACCTTAATGCAATGTTCAAAAGTGCGCTGCATAAATGACAGAGTGAAACCGACATCACAGCCATCTCTTATTGCCAGCTTTAGCAAAGCCCTATCTCAAGTATAACTCTAAGCCCCTTGGTATGTGAACTAAGACCAATCCCAAATCTGCCCAAATCCATCACTGCTCCATAACCAACAAGCAAATTCCACATCCCAAGTCCATCGTTAAGGATGAGACCGGTGTACATCTTGCAAACTTAAGCAACCTTGGGTCAGTTATATAGAGCTGCTTGGTAGTTAGAAGAAAATCTGAGCTAACTACAACAGAAAAAAAAGTGCTGACTATGGCCACAAAAAAAAGGCTCCGGTTTCTGGTATGCGCGCGCGTCGCCGTAGCCATGTCGGCAAAATGAAAAAGGTTTTTTTTCAATGAAAGATGATGTCTCAAAACCGCCAAACTCACTGGTTTGACTGGAATCCTGCTGCTGCACAATTTTAACGTGTTTTAGATGGGGTTATGATCGAGAATAAGCTTTATGTGGCCTCTCTGGACTCCCATATATTTGCACTAAGTTTAGTCGGGCACCATTTGCAGTCATCAGCCGACATTTGAAGCAAAAAAGTCAGGTAAAAAAAAAAAAAGCCGCGTCGCCGCACCACATTTTGGGCAAGCTCCATACCAGAAACCGGAGACTTTTTTTTTTTGGCCTATAGCAGGAAAACTTTGCAAGCCTTAAAAAAACATGTGACCTGTCACCGCAAAATGAGCTCCAAGTTGGAAACAGCCATTTTGCAGTACAGCGGGGAAACGCCAAAATTTGAAGGGGTGATCAATTTTTTGTTTTCAAGTGGACCTGTATCTGTAAGTCCTGAGCTACCTTTCTCTCATTTATTTTGTTCTGTCAAACATCTTATAAAACCTACTTTCATTCTGTTTTAGTAGTTGACTGTTCATTCACTGTAACACAACTCCAGGATTTTTAAATGTCATTTTCTCAAGAATCAGTTTTGCAACTTGAAGTAAGTTTGTGGTGTGTATTTCTGTTACTGAACTCTATTTTCCTTAATGAGGTTGTGGAATACTGAAAGTCGTTTTGTTTTTTATATTTTTTTTATTGTAGAGTAGACCCATATCATAATGACAAACTCCCATTCTTTTGTAATGTGCGTTTATATGTTTATAAAACTGAAATTCATCGAGTAATTTGTTGGTCGGCGAGCGCATAATTGAAATCAACAGTCATCGGGTTCTTCGTAAAATGAGAAAAATCGTGACGTAATAAACAGGACTCGTTTATACTACGCTGCATCGGGAGTCCTGTTCATTACGTCACGATTTACTATGTTTTGTTTGCTGCCCCCAACGACAAGTTTTACACAAATTGCACGTTCGGGTCGAAACAGGACCTGAAAAACAGCTCTCAAAAGTACCTTTTGTACTCATTTCATGACAGACACAATAGTCGTTTTTATTTCATCACACCTTAGGCTATATACATGTACCCGAAAAATGACGGAAATGTCTTCGAGCATTCCACAACCTCTTTAATGTTGTACATGTATGTATACCTTTGCAAAGCTCTTGTTCTGCAGAATCCAGATCTAATAAATAGCTGAATTCTGAAAAAGTCTGGCTTTAAGCTCATGTTGTGATGACAAAGTCATATATTTTATAGTCTACACATGCTAATAATTGTGCATTCCTGTATGTGCTTGTGCAAACACTCTTTAAGTATACATGTACATGTACAACCAATTGTTGACAGCTTTTGTGTGATACATATGCTTTGCTTGTTCAAGAAATCTCAACCATGTACATGTACCAACCACCTTCTTAACTTCTTTGAAGCAAATCTTTGAGAACAAACATGTGACTGGAATGACAACTAACAAACCACCGGTTATTTTTGAGGACCCCGAAATTCATTCGTGTGATAATTACAGTCGAGTCTGGTTAATACAAACTCGTTCGGACCTAGCCAAATTGTTTGTTATATCAGAATTTTGTATTAAGAGGAATATCAGTCCCATTCATTGTACACATGCATGCACAGTCGGGACCAAGGCTTTATGTTTGTTATAACCAGAATTTTGTATTAACAGAGTTTGTATTAACGAGACTCGACTGTACACAGAAACTGTAAGTTTTCAAGGTATAGTAAATCTTTACATTCTACTTTTAAATTCAACTATCTTTCCAACTTTGATCAGTTTGTTCCAAATGCATTTGAAGCCCAAAGTGTTTTGTTAAAAGATGCATTCCCCGTGCTATTTTCGAGTTTCAATAGATTTGTTTTTTCAATTGCTATTTTCCTAGAAATATGAAAGCTATTCGCTTTTGAATGAGACACAGAACGAAAAAAATCCACCGGCGTTCAGTTATTGAATTATTCCTTCACAAAATCAAATTACTGGCTGCCAGACAATGATTTGGCTCTTGCAGGGCAGGTTCATTTGTGCACAAAATTGCGCTGAATTGGGAGTAAAATCTTATTCTATTGATGAGCCATTGATTTTTAGAGGCTCAGGGCCTACTAATAATCATGCCATCGTCTAGTCTGAAAATTTGGGATGTCAAGACTGTGTACATTTGTCCCATCTGGTACCTATTCTACACAAGGAGAACATTTATCATTGATACCTGGCTTCCATGATTTTCTATAAACCGTCTTAACATCTTACAGTGCGAGTCCAAAATCTGGCCAAAATTCCCGTTCAAGATGAAAGATTTTATCAAAAAGGTACATACAAAAAATGGTATTATGTTGTAAAAAAGTGAAATTGAGTTATAAATATACACAAGGTTGGAAAGCCCACAACGTATGCTTTCATTAGGTATATAATAGAGTTCCATAGCCCCTCCTGTTCTTGAGATATGACGTACATGTATAAATTTGCATATTATTAATTACTTCCTTGGAGTTCAAATTGTATACTGTATGTGCAACTGAGAAAACAAACTTTGAAATAGCTGGCTCTGTTGTAAAACAACATTTACGATGCACACGAAATAGTCATTTTTCCACTTTATTCATCAAAATCAAAATTTCTGTGATTGGAACCTGAAACTGTAGGTATTAAAGATGTCATTCAAAACAAAAAATGAAAATCACATGGTGACAAGATTTTTACCCTCTCAACATTGAGCGGGCCAATACACGATGCACAGCACGACTATAGGTTTATACCCTTTTTTGTGAAGCCGGTCACAAAATCTCAATGAAGGTCAGCGGTTGCAAAAATGGGGGAAAAAAACAGTTAAAAATGTTGCAACCTGACGCCACTTCAGCAGTTGTGTACAAAGTCTAAGGAGAGTCAAGAAAATTATAACAAGTATTTCCTAACAAAATTGGAAATGTTTCTCAGTCCCAGATTCATGTTATCATCATTTATGCAATGACTGACCTACATTGAGATGATGTATGAAGAAAAAAGTGGCGTCAGGTTGCAACAATATTTCCAAAAACATGAATCTGGGATTGAAACATGTTCAATTTTGTTAGAAAATACTTTGAAAATGAACTCAACTCTCCATGGACTTTGTCACGTTTGTAGTGTACACAACCAAAGAAGTGGCGGCACAATTGCAGAATACCCCGCCACTCGATCTATCCACCTCGTAGCCGGCTATGAGGTCACGGTTGGTTGACCTCAATAAACATTCTCAGCGCTACCAACCTCGTCCCCAGTGCTTACTTTATTTCCAACCGCATTTCCAATAGTAAACCCTGGATAGGAAACTTTCTTCCTGTATCCTGATTGGATACCGCAATTGGCTAGTAATGGATTTTTATCATGTACATGTACTTGGTGCTATTATTCACAACGTGCAGTACGTGTTTTCGCGATCATTCGTCCACGCCTTCTCGAAAATACTAATTTCCTTTCCAATTTGCTCATATTAATATGAAATATGATACTGCATGTTGTCTCGATAAAATCGTGTAACAGTTTGATTTCAAAAATCGTGTTTTCGTACACTGTAACTCACGCCGTGCTCGAGCTAATACGAATTGACTCTGTTTTTACCCCAGACACCGCATACAAAAACAAACGCTAATGTGTAACACATATCCAGGCACCAGACTGTTCCTCATTTGCATACGTGTGCAAAAATCTTGCACAAATGATCCAATACCAGGGTGAGAGAGCAGGTAGTGGTGGGCGCGTACTGCTCGACACCCTGGGGACCATGGGGACGAGGTAGCAGCGCTACTTGTGTACTATGCGTCATGCTCCATTGCACTCCCACTTCGTAACCGCGTAGCCGCCAACAGGGTGGTTGGTTTGGACTTAGAATTTTTTCAGCAACTCCCATTCCTTTTGTGTTGCTTCGTTCTCAAGCAAATTCAAGGGGACTCCCACTCCGTATCCGCATAGCCAGCAACAGGGTGGTTGGTTTGGACTTAGAATTTTTTTCAGCAACTCCCATTCCTTTTGTGTTGCTTCGTTTTCAAATAATGGACCCCCACTCAGTATCCGCGTAGCTGGCATGGACTTGAATTGTTTCTTTTCCTGTGATTCCAACCTCGTAGCCACAGAATTAATTTAGGGGTGTATTTATAAGGGGGTCAGACAAGTCGACCGTTGAGACAACTCGACTCGGGACAAGTCGACCGTTGAGACAACTCGACCGTTGAGACAACTCGACCGTATGTGCGATAATTGAAAGACAAGTTGACCGTTGAGACAAGTCGACTCGCATGTTTTTGGGCCTAGTTTTGGGGATAGTACCAGGGATTTTGACGGCGGCTGATCAACGTTTGGGAGTTATGATACATGAGTTTTTTTGGTTGCATATAACAGAACCGATATAGCGCAGCGTGATTGTCCGTGCACATCGTTCGTTTTTGCCGGGCTTGTGCGCGCATCCCCGGTAAACGTGGCCGTTCCGTGCACGGTGACATCGTTTGTGCCGGCCCCATCGTTTGTGACGTGCCCGCGTGCGCGTGCCGGGCCGTGCCCGGTCCTCGCGGGCGCGACGCGACGGCCACTGAATCGGAGCGCCCACAGATTTATGCACTTTTTTGTCTCAACGAGTTGTCTCAACGGTCGACTTGTCTCAACGGTCGAGTTGTCTCAACGGTCGACTTGTCCCGAGTCGAGTTGTCTCAACGGTCGACTTGTCTGACATCCTTTCCAAGTGGCGGGGTATTCTGCAATTACTCCGAAGTGGCATCTGGATGCTACATTATTTCCGCCAAATGATTAGGTATTCCCAAAACATGCAACTTTGCAAGTGTCATTTCGTTATGGAACATTCAACAGTTCAACACGAGAACAGGCAAACAGTACAGGCACAGGCAGGTGACGTGACAGACCTGTACAAAACCACACTCTTGAATACGTAGGCCCTATGCAATTTGCATGGACGTGAGCGGGACATCCAAAAAAAAAACCAATAAACTTACCAGTAATAACTGCTTACGTGGACTTGCCTACAGACCCTGGACATGGAAATCTATATTTCCAATAGAGAAGAAGTCCGTACCGGTACTCGATCTTGACATCGCTGCGACCACTACTGGATTGTTCGATGCCGAAATTGATTGTGCCATTCTGCTTTACCTTCGCTCATAACCTGCAACAAGGAACAGCGCTCATGCAGTCAGTCATGTTTGTCAGTGTGTGTTCAACGTGCCTGCCCACTTGCCAACGAAGGGTGGCGCTCCACACGTTCACAAATATCACAAACCCTTCCCATGAGGTTATATAGAGGGCGCAGTCTCAACATTTCAAGTTGGGCTCAACCATTGATCTCCATATACACAGACTGGATAGGACATCGCGTACGAACGTGCGTCCGCGCGCGCGTATTTTGAAAAGGGTAAAGAACACAATTTCGCATTCGAGTTGTGTACACTTTCGAACGGAGGATTGAAAAATGAAGCTGGGTTTTCTTCGGTTTCTTTGTCATTTTTGAAAGAATAAAAGAAACAGAGATCTAAATTGATCAAAATCGATGAGGAGTATAGTCAAGGTGTGCGCAGCATTAGATTGCTGGAGTCGGGAAGTAAGGAGCGTTGAAGAATAGGACAATTATTCGCAAGTAAGTTGTTTTTTAACGATGTCTATACAACATGGCATGGAGGAATATGAACATAGCAAATTATAATATCGTTAGTGTTGTCGCTCTGAGTTTGAGGGGATGGAGGCCTGTGTGGTAGCTATAGCGAGATATTCTGTTCAAATTCCATGCGATCTAGACCTGTCATGCTGGTCGCCGTCCATGTTTTTTAAGACATAGGCCTAGGCCTAAACGTGCATGACTGACCCGGCAATGGCAATGAACAAAAGTTGACTTGTTTAAAATAGTTTATTCGAATAACCTTTATAACTTTTATATGCAAAATCTGATTGAATTATGTCTGCCTTGGCTTTAGCTCTACTCAGTGGAGCGCTGGAACGATCGGTACCCTCCGTACAAGCTTGTACGGAGGGTACCGAAGTTCCAGCGCTCCACTCAGTAGAGCTACCTTGGCTTAACGCCTACCGAAATGTTTCTATTATTTTTCTTTATAAAGAGAAACCGAGGAGATGGTTTATCCTCACTTACTGCACAAACTGGCCGATTGACCTTCATATCAACAAAGAACTTCAACAAAGCCATATAGCAAAAACCACCAGCTGCAGGACCGAGCCGGACGAAAATGGAGAACTTCACGGAGGGATGGAATCGACTGCATCATCCACTGAATGGAACATGCGATGTGATAGGCATATGAACGTTTGACTTAATCAATTTTTACGATGTGGAACTGTTAACATTGATTGATTTTGGTATTGGAAAGAAGTTGTGAAGTCCAACGCAAGGATTTTTTATGAGCTCCCAAGATGACTGTCACATTATTGACAGTTTGTATGTTGAAGAAAGCAATGAGTAATTTTACGGTTTGAAATTATGTTGTGTACGCCGTTATATTACTAGCTATAGCCATATACACCGTCATATTCGCTCACAATAACGATTCCCATTACACTTACAAGTAATTACATTCAGTTTCAGAAGTAGAGCTAAACATTTAATTATAAACAAGACCGTGCGTAGCTTGAATTATTCTTTGACAAAATTAGTATAGTACTATTTTGGTTTGTGATTCATCTCCTTTCACACAATATCACAAGAGGTGAACGATGTCATTCCCTGATCAATATAGGGACGGGAAGAAGTTTTTACTGATTACTTTGTAAAATTAAGGTTTGTTTACCTTTTAGATTGTAATTTGTGTATGTTCAGGTTTTTTAATAAATATATAAATCATTTGAATGAATCTCCGTACAATTTCTCGTGTGAGTGTTCAGTTAAAAAAAATATGATGTCATTTTAGCATATTATTAATACAATTATTCATTTCGTTGATGGAGTAATTCAGTGTGCTCTAATGACCAATGTGCCAAAAATGAAATGGCAATTTAGTTACAATCATTTTTGGGAGGAGGAGGGATTAAAAAAAAAAGGGAAAAGGAAAGGGGGGGGAGTTCTTGAATTTCGAAAATGCATAATAAGAAAGTGTATTGTTGTGGCGCTCTTATGTAATCCCAGACGTGGCGCTATTATGTAATACCAGACGTGGTGCTCTTATAATACAAATTCTTCTAATACCCTCCTAATCTTGTGTGGCTATATAAGCACGCCCGTATTCATTGTTCGTTGCAGTTGGCTTCAGGGCGTTGGCTTCATCATGACTTTCTGTACCATTTTCTGTAGTCATATTAAATTATTTGGAAGCAGAGTTTAAGTTTCCTGTGTTTGGATTTGAGTTGTCCAATGTCTGTTCTTATAAATTCCTAATTCGCTACATCACAAGCATCATAAGAAATGGTGGAAGATCCGCACCAACTCTGTGTTCCTACACCGAGCTTTCCCGGTCCTTCATTCCGGACTCGGACGGCCAACGCCCCGGTCAGCTGCCCTTGCCGGGCACGGTAAGTTTTTTTTTTATTTTTCAAAGTGGCATCAGTTTCGTAGGTTTCATTTTCTTTTGTAAATAAAGTATTAAAGGTTATACTGGACACAGTTGTAGAATTATACAGTAAATGATATAAAGTGGCGGATTGTCCAAATTAATTTCATTTGATTTCTGTGTTCAAGTATCAATCCTTCAATGTTTATGGAAGTCGATCTAGAAGAAAAACCAACAATGTCGGGCACCAAATATGATTTAGCCTCTAGTGGACTAAAATATTCAGGTCTTCCCGAAGAGGACGTAGACGAATTTATTTCTAGATTTAGGACTTTGGCCTCATTAAGAGATTTTGCAGATGCCAAAAAAGTCTTGGCTTTACAGTCTCGAATATTTGGCCACGCCCGAATTTTTCTAGAAAGTGTGCCGAATGAAGACAAAAATTCAGTAGAGAGTATCCAAACGATTTTGAAGAAACATTTTCAAGGTGACTCTTGGGTGTGGCAAGTTGAAACAAAATTGCTTGAACGAAAACAACTACCTTCCGAAACATTGGATGATTATGCTTCAGATATTATGCACATGTGTCAACAAGTTAAGAAATCAAGTGCAGAGTGTCTTTCCATATTTGTACGTGGATTATTACCATCCATTCGGGCATTTGTATTTTCCAAACAACCGAAATCATTCCATGATGCTCTTGATTATGCTAGACTGGCTATTTCTGTGCAACAAACGGCTCACGAGCCGGATAGATTGAAAGCAAATGATACTAATCCTAGTGTTTCCGTAAATGCCATCCATTCCACTCTGCAATCCCTTACAGTAACCATGAATTCAATTGCGAATAGGTTGGATAGGTTGGAACAACAGAAGGAACAAAGTCCAAAGAAACCAATTTCACCTGGTAGAGCTAATCCTCAGCAATCCAATCGTTATCCATTTACTTGTCACAGATGTGGACGCACAGGTCACAAATGGCGCTATTGCCGAGCTACTTTCGATGTCTTAGGTAATCCTTTAAACTAAGGAGCCCACCTGTTAATGTCAAAACTTCAAAAATTCAAACACCGACAGGTGGGGAAGCCTCAGACAAACAAAAAGAAGGCCTTGTGAATTCACAAGTAAACAGTAATTCTGATTGTGTTGAAATTAATTTGAGTTCTTCAAGTACAATTGATGTAAAGATTTATCATGTACAAGTTGAAGCCCTTATTGATACTGGTGCTTCCATTAATCTTATCGATAATGACTGGCTTTTAAAACATCTTCCTGCCATGCACCATTTAATCGAAAAACCACGTTTGATGAGTGCTAAAACGGCTAATAATTCTGACTTAGACATTACAGGGTTTATTACCTTACCAGTGGCTATGTGTGACACCTGTTTTCAAATAGAATTCCATGTTGTGTGTAGTCTTACCTCACATATGATTCTTGGTTCACATTTTCTAAGCGAACAGTGTGCTAACATAGATTATAGGTCACGTAAACTACGACTCACTAAGAAAAACCAGTTGCGTGTTCTTAAGAAGCAAACAATCCCACCACGCTCTCAAACCGTAGTTTGTGCAAAAGTTTCAAATCAACTTCCTGTAAACACTGTTGGTTTATGCCTTGGAGGTAGACATATTACGTCACTAGGTGTAATGGTGGCACGCACCGCAAGTCAAGTTACAAATGTCAAGGGTCAAGCAAATGTATTGGTCATGAATATTTCTGAAGATCCAATTACTTTGTATCCACGTACCAAACTGGGAACGTTCAATTTAATCGATCCCTGTGAGTTAGTACCAATGACAACGATAGATCTTAAGGAACATGAGGCATACGTAGCAGAAGTTAAAACTTCTTCTGACAGTAACAACCCAAGTTTGAGTGAAGCTTGTTGTGAGAAAACAGTGATTTCTGGAAAACGGACAGAAGAAATTCTCTCCAAAGTCATGTTGAATACAGATCACATGTCTAATTCAGAAACAGCTGCGATAACTCAGCTAATATCAGATTATTCTGACATTTTCCAAGTTGATGGAGGACCTAGAGGCCGATATTCAGGAGTTAAACATACTATTAACACAGGAGATCACCCCTCGATTAAGTCTCGGCCCTATAGACAACCACCTCACATCCAACAGGAAATACAAAAACATGTCAAGAGTATGTTGAACGAAGGCATTATTAGAGAATCCACTAGCCCATGGAGTTTCCCAGTATGTATGGTACCAAAGAAAGAGCAGGGTTCATATCGTTTTTGTGTAGATTTTCGTAAGCTAAATAAGATCAGTATTATGGATAATTTTCCATTACCGAACATATCTGATGCACTTGATAGCCTAGGCATCATGAAACCACAGTATTTTTCAACTCTAGACCTAGCAGCTGGATATTGGCAAATAGAACTTGAAGAATCATCCAAATCCAAGGCTTGCTTCATTACGCAAGATTCTCTGTATGAATTCCAGGTACTTCCATTTGGTTTGCACTCTGCCCCTGCCACATTCCAAAGAGCTATGCAAGAAGTGTTGAGAGGTCTAAATTGGAAATCTGTGCTGTGTTATCTAGATGATGTAATAATCTTCTCAAATACATTTGCAGAACATATACATCATTTGAAGCAGGTGTTTGATCGTTTTCGTAACTCTGGTCTTAAATTACAGCCAAAAAAATGTGTTTTTGCCCAACAAAAGATCAAATATTTGGGCATGGTTCTGAGCAGTGAAGGGATTGAAACC